CAAAATGATTCTAAGAGAGATTGGATGGGGTGGTATAGGTTGGATTGATCTGGCTCAGGATAAGGACCAGTGGAGGGCTCTTGTGAACACGGAAATGAACTTTCGGGTTCCATAAAATGCTGGGAAATTCTTGAGTAGCTTCAAAATTGGAGGTTCCTCAAGAAGGGCTCAACTCCATTAGTACGTAAGCAAGTATGTTTAGTTTAATAGAAGCTCCGTTTTATGAGTTTCATTTTATAATGTTCCGTTTTATAGAGGTTCTGTTACATCCTTCTTTGGGTGTGTAGACCAGTTCGTTTAAAGCTTCCCACAACACTGTCTGGAGTTGTAATTGGTTAGGACTGCTCCAGCTTCATGCGTGACAGAGCCACCTTGCTGTTCGCCTAATCTTGTCAGTCTCTCTAGTTATCCGTCTGCCAGACTACACCCAGATCAAATAGCAACAAATGCTATACCGGGTGATCAACGAACGCTAACGTTTATTATATACGAACTACTTCATTTATAGATCACTCAAAATAAGACGGAGACCAAACAAAGGATGCATATTCAGCTCAGAAGGGCGGGGGGCTAGAAAATAAATATATGTTGTACAGGGTAATTCATATGTCTCCCCGAAAACCCCGACAATAATTTAGAATCACAGTATACCTATACTCTTATCCATATACACGTCTTTGGTGTGCAGAGTGATTCTAAATTATTGTCGGGGTTTCCGGAGGGACTTATTAATTATAATTAATAATTATCGTGTATTTTTTGAAGCCTTATGTTCAGTTTACTGAAATTGAGGAGGAATGTACTCTCTCCACCTCCAGGCTTGAAGAGAAATCCCAGGAGGTAAGCACTCATTCGCTCACTCATAGTACTGAGCCCTTCTTGAGAAGCTGACAACTGTGCAGCTACTCAAGCATTTCCAAGCATTTTAAGTAACCTGAAAGTTCATTACCGTGTTCACAAGAACCCTCCACTGGTTTCTATCCTGAGCCAGATCAATCCAATCCGTACCAACCCATCCTGTCTATCTAAGATCCATTTTAATACTGTCCACCCACCTATGTCTTGGTGTACCTTCCTTAGTCTAAAGTGATCGTAGAAAATATTCTTTGGCATGCAGATCTCCTTTTATGATATTAGGAGGCTCATTCCAGTGCTCACAAAACCCCTCGTAGGACACTATTCTGAGCCCTTTGAATATAACCTACATACCGTGATATAGCGAAACACAGCTAGATCGTGACCGTTGCAGTCATTTTATCGCAGAATTCTTAGCCTACGCATAATTCATAGTCTCCCCCCTCCAATCTAGTAGACAGCTATGGATAGGTTTATTGGGAGGGGGCACAGTCCGTACCTCACGGTCCGGTCTAGGTCACGGATAACATCTCTCCCACCTCCCAGCCACGGAAGCAAGGATCACTCCAATTACTGAAAGATCAAAGTTAAAAAAACGGCCAGAGTCTTGTATCAGAGAGAATGGGTATATAAGCGTGTGAGATTGAGGGTCTGCTCACAGTTGCTCCTAGCTTTTGCTGTGGATTAGCTACCGGCCAGCGCAACAACAATACCCGCAACAATGAAGTGTCTGGTGAGTTGATTCTGTTGGGCAAGCGCGAGATGGCGTTAGTGGGAACTGCAAAGCATGTCTTTGTCTCGCGTCTTCCTATCCGTGTTTTTGCTGTCTCAGTACACGGCGAGTCTAAGAAACAAAGTAAATGTGGCCTTAATTACATATCCCTTCAACGTGTAGGTTACATTTTAGAAGAAAGTTACGAAATTTACAAGATAATATAGGCACTGTTTTTTGCTTAAAAATTTAATATACAGGAAAGAATGGGAAATAATCTCCCTGTACGTTCCAAGATGGAGCATAGACATATAAATGAATAAGTAACTAACTCCGTAACCTGTAGTCCGCAAGCGAACTATATCGCCTGAGCGACCGCTGCTTGTTAGCGAAGTTGGTGCCACCTTTAGCGGATAGAGGGTGTCACATGGTCAGCGCAACGGTTCCCCAAGTCCATTAATCTCGGTTTTCTAGACCGGAGCCGCTATTTCCTTGAAATAGCTCCTCAATTATCCTCACGAGGCTGAGTGGACCCCGTTCCAGACCCACTACTTCTCAGAAAATCTTGTAGCGCCGGGAATCGAACCCGGGACCTCTGGACCTGTAGCCAGGAACTCTAATCACTAGACCATAGGGGGGTCAGATGATTAAATATTGAATATTTTATTAGCTCCCTTACAATTTACATTTCGGTTTATCGAAATTTGACTCTCTGGCCCTACAATCTAGCAGTCCACTAAAATTTACAGTCTCTGCAGTATAAAACTCATCTATGCGTCTCCAATCTTATTCTTTGCTGCATATGGGACAAATCCCCTGGTCACTGTTCCACCTAAACCTCTTCAGTCTCCAAGCCCCTTTTCACCACCATGTGAAGTCTCTCCTGGCTTCAACAATATGAAAGCATACGTACATTTACACTTCTTATCTCTTTTCATGAAAAATTATATTCGAAGCATCCTAGTTGTTACGTTTTTCGAACTATTAGAAAAATATAATTATCATCATTTAGTCAAAGAGGATGAGATTGGCAAGGCATGTAACACGAATTGAGAGAGGAGGAATGCATATAGGATATTAGTGGGAAAGCCGGAAGAAAGGAGACCACTAGGAAGACCAAGACGTCTGTGGGTGGACAATATTAAAATGGATCTTAAAGAGATAGGATGGGATGGTATGGCTCAGGATGGGGACCACTGGAGGGCTCTCGTAGAAACGGCAATGAAATTTCGGGTTCTATAAAATGATGGGAAGTTTTTGAGTATCTGCAGAATTGGCGGCATCTCAAGAAGGGCTCAGCTCCATGAGTGAATGAGTGAATTTATTCTTTCGATAGTTAAACGATACGTTATTTGTCAGAATTATAATTTTGGGTTTTGGGAGACTGTTAGCTTGTATAATTTTTACACTGACAATTTGGTACGCTCCAAACGATAACACCACTAAAGGAAATGCTATTTAGAAGTAATTTATGGCATGACATGTGCCACTTTTCCGTTCAGATTTATTATCCAGAGAGTTACTGACCTTCAGTATGATTCATATCTCCTCTATACACATAACTACCTTAATAGCGAACAAAACCACGCCCAAGCCCGCCGTGTTGCATCTGCTTCCGTTATCCATTGCTATCCCTATAGCTTATGGACGATTCAACATGCGGTGACCAAGACTGACTAACAGTAATTAAGAAAATAATAGTTATTACGTAATTTTACGTGTATTAGTTAAATTTATTCAACAGGTTTACGGTGATTTATATGCCACTGTTTCGCAGTATTTCAACCCATTGTTGGATTTAACTGTTGTAACGAAAATTGGCACTTAATATATATTAAAATATTGTTCTAAAAATTGAAGCACATTTAAAAGATATTCTCCTCGAAAATATTGCAAATTGATCTGAATAATGTTCGAAAAGAGTATACAGTTAAAATCTGATTAGATAGAATTTTTCAACATACGCTTGATACTCGTACGTATATTTTATTTTATATCTTTGTTTTTTTTTTTCTTTTGGCGCAACAGCCCCAATTTGGACTTTGGCCTACCTACAAGAAACTCTCCGTTTCACTTCGGTTTACTAGGTCTTAGACATTCGGTAGGACTCCTTGGGAGGTTGATAAGCTCGTCGCAAGGTCTCTACCTGTACACAAACACAGAAAATAACACACAAATGCTAAACATCCATGTCCTGAGTGGGATTCGAACCCACGATACCGGCTTCCGAGAGAGCGATGACAGTGCATGCCTTAGACCGCTCGGCTACCGTGATCTTTGGATCACTTTTTCAGTTTTGTCTAGTAGCTCTTTCATAAATGTCACACGAGGTTTTAGTAATTGTTTAGCTTCTTGAACTCCTCATAAAATTATTCACAGATGGCACTCATATTTAATTTCACAGTCTACTGAGATAAAGAATTTGAAGTTGTCCATGTGTTTAACTAATTAAGCACTAGGCCATGAAGGCGTATGGGGGAGTGGATATATAGATACAAGTTTTACTAACATGTGTACTAGTTCGAGGTGAGTGGTCAGATTCACGCTTCGGCCGCTTTACATCCGGGGAAAGGGCTTCAGGTACCCAATGGATAGGAGGCTGGGTGGTCCCCAGAGCCGGTCTGGATGACTTGAAGAAGAGAAAATTCTTGTTCATACCGGAATTCGAACTCAGACCTCTCGGCCGTCCAGCCGGGAGCCAGTCGCTATACCGACTGCACTATCTCCACCAAGTCTAGTGAGATACCTGCAAGAAACTCCTTTAGATCTGAAGGAAAATGGCGATAAAAATGTGTTTTGTTGAAATAAGGTGACAGAATACTCTAAAGTAATTTTTAACTTTTACAAAACTGAAAATATACAAAGTTTTGCAGTTTTTTGTAGTTCTCACAGCGACGGTTATAAAGAGTTCCGTCTTCTGGGATGTGCGCTACAGGACGTTATGTTCGAGAAGGTAGAGCTTTTCTTCTTCAGTCTGAGGCTTGCGTGTAACTACAATATCAACAGAGTCAGCAGCCATGACATTTGTTAGTCTCCTTAAATCTGATTTTGTATACATATAGTTGGTTATCACTGGCATAGACAAGAGAAAAAACAGAATTGTTTTTTCTTATAGCTGTATTTACTTCGGTAAATACAGCTTCGTCTTTGAGGGTCACTAAATAATATCAGAAGCATATCGCAGGATAAAAACAGTTAGGTGCGATTTAAGTTTTCAGACAATAATGATCCTGGTTATGGTATTATGGATTGGCACCGTGTAATGTGATGGGTGGTTACCATTGTTTCTGAGAAATATTCTGCCTTCATGTTCCTCCGAAACGTCTGGTAACAAGCCAACAGGCTGCACAGTGTCACAGTCCACGATAAACAGTTGTGGCGTGCTGAGTCTGCAGATGTTGACATGTGAATACAGCTAGAAGTGTCTGTACAGGTAATCATCTCTTGTGTGATGGCTCTGGCCACCGCGAAGCCTGGCATAGTGGGTTCCTTGCCCTACGCAGCAGTTGCCCCTGTGGGCATCGCCACTTCCGTATCCAGCCAGTACCACGCTCAAGACACGCTGGGACAGTACAGCTACGGATATGCAGGCGGCCCCAGCGCCAAGACCGAGACTCGAACTGCTGACGGCATCACCCGCGGAGGCTACTCCTACATCGACGGCCACGGACTCGTCCAGAGCGCCAGCTACGTCTCTGACCCCGTCAACGGTTTCCGAGTTGCGGCCACTAACCTCCCTGTCGGTCCCTCTGTTCCCGCTGCACCCATAGCTCCTATTGTTGCTGCCGCCCCCGCCGTATTGGCCGCCCCAGCCCCCATCGCACTCCCAGCAGTAGCCGCTGGAGCTCCCCTCGAGACTCCCGAAGTTATCGCAGCTAAGGCCGCCCACTTCGCTGCTCACGCCCAGGCTAAGGCTCTTCTGGGTCGCAAGAGGCGCAGCCTTCAACCCGTTGCCGCACCTATTGCATCATACGCCGCTGCTCCCTTCGCAGCAGCCCCCGCAGCTTTTACAACCTACGCAGCCGCCCCAGCTCCCGTTGCAGCTTTTGCCGCCCCCGCACCTATCCCCGTCGCTAAGACCTTCAGCTACTCCACCGTCTCTGCCCACGCTGACCCTGTCGTCGTCGCCGCCCCCGCTCCCGCTATCAGTGTAGCTCGTGCCGCCCCCGTCGCCTTCGCCGCCCCTGCACCCGTTGCAGTCGCCGCCCCTGCTCCCGTCGCAGTTGTTGAGCCAGTCAAGAGCTTCGGATATTCCACCGTCTCTGCCCATGCTGACCCCGTTCTCGTCGCCGCCCCCGCTCCAGCTGTCAGTATAGCTCGTGCCGCCCCCGTCGCACTCGCCGCCCCTGCACCAGCTGTGGTTGCCGCCCCTGCACCCGCTGTACTTGCCGCCCCCGCACCAGCTTTTGCTGTGGCCCGCGCCGCCCCCATTCTCTCCGGCTCCAGCCAGTACCAAGCCCAAGACACCCTAGGACAGTACAGCTATGGATACGCCGACAGCAACTCCCAGAAGCAGGAAGCCCGCGCCGCTGATGGTACTACCCGTGGAGCTTATTCCTATGTGGACGGACACGGCCTCGTCCAGAGCGTCAAGTATCATGCCGATGCCCTCGGTTTCCGAGTTGCGGCCACCAACCTCCCCGTGGGCCCCGCCTAAACTACCGTCCCATACCCTGGCTAGACCACTGTACACGTACCTGCATGATTGGTCCACATTGAAGATTAAGCATTTCTCAAGCAGAAGGCAGGTCTGGTGCAACTACCGCCCCAGCCCTCCACAAGGACGCCCCTCTCCTTGTGCAGTGCCGGGCGTAACACTAAGAGGTGTCTCAGGTTACAGGCAGGCTACAAGAGCCAGTCCATGGATTGGAGCCAAAGTCCCAAGTGTTAAAATTTCAGTGTGAACCGGACTGAAGGAGACGATCACAACAAACCCTCCCCCGCACCGCGCCCTCTGGAGCCCTCGCTGGAGTCCAGAGGTCATCAAGCTAGCGAGTACTGTGTTTCTGAGGTCACCAGCTGGGTAGGAGATGCTACCAGAGCTGTGATCACCACCTCCTCTTCCTAAGATCTGTTTACTGTTCTCTCAAACTGCCAGGGCCCCTCTATCGCGTCTTCTCTTCAGCTCCTTTACATATTTTCGGGATCCCAAATGTGAAAATCATAGTCATTTATTATCCACTCAGAAATCAAGCCTCTTACTTCAACTCTTCGTGTTTGAATGTGTATATAATATTATATTACTATGTATTCTTATTTTGCAGCATTATGTAATACAAAGAAACAAAAAAATAAAACAAAAAAAAGAATACCGAATATACATGCAATAAAATTGTTGTGCTACAAAAACAGAAAAAACTGTATTACTTATTTTGTTTTTATAATTGCTGTTAATAGTCTTAAGCTTGTTTTCATCCCATCTTTGAATCAAGAGAAAAACATGAAGAACGCAAGACTGAGAAGTTATTTTTATCGCTTGTGCAGCAGGTTTTAACTCTGAAACTCCTCAACAGATGTCACTGATATATAGTATGGAAAATCCACGCCAAACATTCTCAATCAATCAATGAAAGTCAGAAATCAGCCCTATGCTCCAAAGTGGGAGCAAGAGAGGACGAAAAGAAAAACTTTTCTAACAATGACGTAACGGTCTGCGTCATTAACTGATAATGACGCACTCTCTTTCTCATAGCAGATGAAGTGTACCTCTAAATGGTCCATTGGACAGTAAAGTAAAGGTATCCTCTACCAGGCCGTGAAGGCCCATAGGGTTGTGAGATGTTGAGGTTCTCACATTTTCTAGACAATCGGCTCATAGATGGCGGCAAGGTTGTCAGCCCTACGCACCGGCCGCCTTTTGCCTCCAAGAATATTCCAAGAATATTCCTGGTACTCATTTCTGTTATAGGCTGAGTCGACCCCAGGGCCGTAGTGCGGCTGGAAGGATCAGATCAATTGACAAAATCCAGTGACCTCATCGGGACTTGAACTCTTGACCTTCCGGCTTGTAGCATAATGCTTCAACCAACTATGCTACCGCGTGCCCCTAGGTCCATTGCACAGAACTTAGTAAATTTACCTTATGAAACCTGAGTTAATTACCTCTAATGTGTAAATTAGAATTCCACAACTTGTGACAGATTTAGCTACGTTCCACTCATAGTAACTGACGATCTACTCACTGGGACACAAGATCTCGAAAATAAGAACTTTCATTTTTAGAATTTGAAGTTCCCACAGCTTTGATTAGGAAGAGGTGACATGTTCTTCCGAAAGGTCATTTGACTTTCAGCGAATTACACAACATTATATCATTGAAGATAGAACGTTTCAAGAATTTCCATTGATATATCACTAAAATGCACATAATTCTAACATTACACCCAATGGATTTGGTTCGAGCGGTAGAGCTTCTGGAATTTACTCTGGAGGTAGCTAGTTCGAATCTCTACCGGGAGATCTGCTTTACTAACTTACGATTTGTTTGTCTTCCTGCTCATTTCAGACAACTTCAGGATAAATACACATATTATAATTACAACACGATCACTTCTTTTCAAATACGTGTATTTTCCAATCTCCTGTTCACCCCGCCTCCTATCCAATGGGTACTGGGTGCTCTTCACCACGGGATTAAAGCGGTAGAGTCGTAAACATGACCACTCACCTCCAACTATTGCCGAGGTTAAGAATACGTGGATCTATACATCCACTCCCCATATACCTTCATTGCATAGTGCTTAGTTAGTTAAGCACAAGGACAGCTTTATTGTCCACCAATCAGCCTATATTTCGATGCTACACAAGCTGAGACACTGACAAAGTCTTTAAGCAAGAATAAACAAAAGATGTAGGGGTACATTTCTTCGGAAAAGATAAATATTTTTTACTAAGGCGGGAATATGGTTTTCTCGAGATGCTGAGAATTTCCAGTCTAGACACGACATGTGACACACCCACTACCTACACGACGGCTGTGGGAATACGTAAGAAAAATAAATCTTAACCATTTTATGTTATCTCAAAGGCAAGAGACAACAGTAAGTAAAGTGGCTCGGTGTTAATGGAAGTGCGGATATTTATGGTGCTGTTTGGAGAACATGGCTGAAAGATTTCGTCTGACACAAAATATATTGACACTTTAAAGAAAAGTGATTACTATACAGAGACTGTCACCTATTTGAACATAAGATAAACCCGCGTTTTCAACACAGTGTCTCTCAATAAATCAATATCTGTTCCCTTTTACGATAGAACGCCTATTATCCGAATTAACTACTATTATAATAATGAAAACAAAACCACTTATAAATCAGGTGACATGAAAAATTCTCTGTGGCCTTTAGTCCGCAAGGAATTACACCCACCGAGCGACGGCCGCTTGTCGGCGAAGTTAGTGTCAACTTTAGCGGATAGAGGGTATCGTGAGGTCAGCGCAACGGATCCCCACGGCCTTTAATCTCTGTTTTCTAGACCGAAGCCGCCATTACCTTGAAATAGCTCCTCAATTATCCTCACGAGGCTGAGAAGACCCCGTTCCAGACCCACTACTTCTCAGAAAATCTGGTAGCGCCGGGAATCGAACCCGGGATCTCTGGATCTGTAGTCAGGAACTCTGACCACTTGACCACAGAGGCGGTCTATAAAAATTAATACATTGCAGTTATAAATTAATATTTTGGCTGGCTCAGCGACTGAAATTCCGTATTTCATGGTTGTTCTGATTCGGATAGTCGGCGTTCTACTGTGCTACGTTTAGGTTTGTTCCGAACCATGCTAGAGGCACGCAATATCTCATTCCCATCACTCACTCACTCATTCACTCACTCATTCACTCACTCATTCACTCACTCATTCATTTTCTCTCTCACCCACTCACTCACTCATTTTCTCTCACCAACTCATTCACTTACCCAATAACTCATTCTCTCACTCACTCACTCACTCACTCATTCACTCCCTCACTCATTCACTCACACATACACTCATTCACTCACTCACTCACTCACTCACTCAGTCATTCAATCACTCACTCACTCACTCACTCATAGAGTTGAGCCCTTCTTGAGAAGCCGCAAATTCTGCAGCTACTCAAGGACTTCCCCAGCATTTTATGGAACTCGAAGGTTCATTACCGTGTTCACAAGAGCCCTCCACTGGTCCCTATCCTGAGCCAGATCGTTTATCCAGAGGATCCGTCCAGGTCCGAGGCTTCTTGTTATCTTTCGTAACGACGAGGAATTGTAAGCCCCACGCCCAACCCCCCGATTTTGAGGACCACCCCTTTTCGGCTGTCCGCGACTGCTTATTCAATATATTCGCAGCTACCCTCCATACCTGGAGGGCGGCTCCTCTATCCGCAACTCGAGGACGCGTTATGCCGTGGTGACATGGGACCCACCTAACGTGGTATCTCATTCCCATATAAGAAGGAAGTAGAAAGAACTAACTGCGATTTGTTTTGACCTCCATAGTGAGAGCCTTTCCTCCAGATCCTACTCTTTGCAAGCAACAATTATACTCATGGAGCTGCGCACTTCTTGAGGAGCCGCCAATTCTGCAGCTACACAAGAATTTCCCAGCATTTTATAGAACCCGAAGGTTCATTACCGTGTTCACAAGAGCCCTCAACTGGTCCCTATCCTGAGCCAAATCAATCCAATCCATGCCATGCCATTCTATCTCTCTAGGATCCGCGAATATCAGTTCCACTGAAATGACAAGGATTTTGGCACCGAAGCCAAATTATAAATATAAAGCACCAAATAATAATAATAATAATAATTTGGAACGGGCCCAGCTATTTAATGTCAGTGTAACCTGAAAGCGAGCCGTACCTCAAGGCCGTGACCTTACACTTTCTTGGGGCCATAACACTGGTTAACTTGATGACGAACAAATTGACAAGGTTTCATCATGACTTGGCACGCCTGGAACACTTGGTGTGCTATTCATAGAGTTCCTTATTATAAAATATCTGCACGATACATTTATCGCAAAAAATTGCTTATATCTGTTTTTTTTTTGCTTATTTGGCAACGTTTCCAATCGTTTAAATTATATGGCTTCAAATGGTAACTTGAATAATCAGTTGGAAAGGATGTTGGGAAAAGTTATCGTGGCCAAATTTAAGGTATTATCTCAATAATTACTGGAGGAACCAAGGAAAACCACAAGAACCTGATGTTAGCAAGCTTACATGTCGAGATTTGAACTCGAGACTTCTGAATACGAAGCAGGAGAGCTCAATAGTCTAACGTGGAGCTCGGTGTCTCATATGGGAAATCAGTGGCAAATTTAATAGGAATACCTCACGTGAACTCATGACCAACAGTTCGGTCAGCTAGGTCTAGACTAAGTATGCACTATTACATTAGCTCCCAGGTACGTTGAGGGTGTGTTCTGCATTTAATTTCATTATGTAAATTTCACCATGCTTTACTATTTTGTTAACTTCGTCGTCGATTTCGAAGCACGTAATTAGTGAAGTAAAAAGTTTTACATAAAACAAATCAAATACCAAAGATAAGGAACAATTCAGAGAAGACTGTCAAGTTTCTCCTACCTTAATCCAATCCATGTTTCCGTAGAGGACAATCCGTATCCACATGTCGAATTATAGCGAACGAATCATCGATTTATAAGCATTATATTCGGTGTGAAGGAAATGTCGCCGCCCTAACGGCTTGATGAATTGTATTCGCATTTCGTATTCAGTGATTCATCCGCCACAGATCGGAACCTGGTGAATGTGTGCAAAATAGGAACCCCTCTTTATAGGACCATAGAACACAGTCGCGATTTTCTCGGAAACAGCTCCAACGATTTTGATTAAATTTCGTTATTTATTTATTTTTTTTTTTTAGATTTTCGCCCTAAATGAATTACGTAGATGATATCTTCAGAAAAATAAAAATTCACGCAATAGGGGCCCAAATATATACGCAACGCGTATGTGTTCTATCTTGAAAAATCAGCGATTAACAATAGCCCACCACCGAATAATAGACCTCATTTCCAACGTAACGTAGCAGAGGTCAATCCAGTAGGTGAAATCCGCTTTACCATTCGGACTGATTTCGGTGTTGTATTCAGTAACAAAGAATTTATTTTTTCCTTTTCGCTCCCACCTTGGAGCATAGGGCCTATTTCTCAGTTCCATTGATCACAATTTTACAGATGGCAGGACTCCTTGGGCGGGTGATCAGCCCGTCGCAAGACCTCTGCCTAAATACAGGACAACACAAACACAGAATAAACGTATACACACACCAAAGATCCATGCCTTGTGTGTGATTCGAACCCATGATCCCTGCTTCCGAGCGAGGGAAAACAGTTCATGCCTTACGCTCGGCTACCGTGCCCGGCAGTAAGAAAGAATACTGAGCATTAATTCATTTTGTTTCCATGGTAACGTAGTCATGGACAATGGTATATGACAAAGTAATTGTGATTTATTTAAATTCTGTTCTTGTTGATTAGGGTAAATTTGTATTTATTTTTACCTATACATCCTGCCCACATACGTGGAATATTACGTATTTTTATATGACGTTTAAGGATCACGACTTTTACCCGAGGAAATTTGAGTAATATGTTGCGTAATGGTAATTATTTTTGATCTATAATTGTCAAATCACTGGGATAACAGAACAATAAATAGACAATGACGCCTTGAGATGACGTAACTTTTACGCATTATACAGTATCGCTACACAAGCAATGCCTTGTTAATTAAGCGAACGTCGAGTGATTTGTAAAGAAGTTGCAAAAGCCTGGACAACATTTTCAATAGTGAACACTTAACAGATTTTATAAGAAAATCACTTTTTGATGGAGTCATATTGCTGCAATCAATCAATCTCTCACGCCGTGTAGCTTGAGGGCTATTTACTCGACATACTCTTTGATTTTGTAGAGGGAGGCAGTCTAGTTCTCCGAAACGTCAAATAATTTATACACGGTGTCGCTTCACTGAAAATTCCATTCATCGTAATCATTGTTGTGAGAACCTATTTCTATCGTAATGTATCAATCATATATCAGTCGGAAAATCCATAATTAATTCTTTCACCCCTTCCTCGGTCAATCCCCCATTCTATCAGCCACTCCTTCGTTCAAAGAGTTATTCAACCGGTATTTACGTGTATATCGTACACGAAGCGCATTAGAATGCCCTGAAATTGAAGTTAGTTATGTCTGAGATGTCGCCTTTCTCTTGCTGCAACTTCTCCGACACCGAAGTTTAGCGCGTTGCAGAGCGCAATTGTGCCGGCGTTATGAACTCTGAGACTGTGATTTTGATGCTGAAAACATGGAACCTGTGGACAAATGAAACTCTGAATCCCCAATTTCGTCCAAACAATATTTAATAATGAAATTCCTACCTCACAAAAAACATACTGCATCTCTATTTCTGTAATTCATGATCAGAAACTCTCGCGCGGCGACCCCGCGTGCCGCCTCGGGTTCCGGGCTGGGATTTACGACGAACACAACACTGGCCACTTCATTCCCTGAAGACGGAGACAGGGACTGGACACCAGCTCCTTACTGACTTGGCTGATCGTGAGAAATTATTTAATTAGTTAATCCTGTTTAAAGGTCCGCCTCTTTGGTCTAGTGGTCAGAGTTCCTGGCTACAGATGCAGAGGTCCCGGGTTCCATTCCCTGAGCAACCAGATTTTCTGATAAGTAGTGGGTCTGGAACGGGGTCAACTCAGCCTCATGAGGATAATTGAGGAGCTATTTCAAGGAAATAGCGGCTCCGGTCTAGAAAACCGAGATTAACGGTCATGGGGATCTGTCGCCCTGATCATGTGACACCCTCTATCCTCTAAAGTTTGCACTAATTTCGCCGCCAAGCGGCGGTCGCTCGGTCGGTATAGTTCGCTTGGGGACTAAAGCCTCGGTGTTTTTATTATTCTTAGAATTATGTGGCTTGGCTCCAAGACGAACAGATTTGCTGTAAAGTAACTGTGACTCCGATTCTGAAGTTCTACTATGACTGCGGTAAATAACAGACCCGTCTTCTCGTTAGAGAAGACGCCCCCACATCTACAAACCCACAACTGTCTGACAGTAACAAAATTCTTGTCTTGGGCCCCAGTAGGGACTTGACACAAAGATCGACTGACCGTCTGTCGTAACATAATTTCGACTCTGACTTTGACGTTGTTCACACGATTAAACAAATTTTAAGATTTGATGCACAGTAGTGTAATTGTATAGTGTGGAGCCAGACAGTATGAAATTCGGGTTGACGTTTCAGCGTCTGCATTCCACGAGGCTCGTGAAGGTCACAAGCAAGTCCTATTACGCGAGGCCGCCTCGCTGTGCACAAGGCAGATTTAGCAGTCTAAATATAGGCAGATAATGGGAACATAGATTTGTTGGAGCATTCCTTCTCGTCTCGCGAATTATCAGCCGAAGATCGAATAACAGTTACAAACAGCGGGACATATATATCGAACCAGAAACCTACATTTGCATTTATTAATATTCAATTGACGCTATGGAAAAAAATTACCCTTTGCAATTCTAAACATGGGTTACGTACCAGCCCCTTCCGTAATATGATATTAATTAATATTCATCCACGCAGTTGCCAAAAATAAATTTGTCGTGGGTGTCCAAAACATAGCCAAATTTCTTGTAAATTTATTTAAGAAATTTTCCTTCCTCTGTTCCATGTGTCACAGTGACCACCCTGCTTATATAACTAAGCTAATTTCTCAAAACTTTAAAGATGGAGACAGTATATTCCTTCGAAAAACCGGTATCCGCCTACAAAACTACATGTTTTTACGTTCCAGAATACCACACACTATGGAAACCTCATGCTTTTAAATAGGCCACGACCACTTCCATTTTTTCCTTTGCCATTTCACCATTGTTCATAATCTCTTCAATCAGTGCTTAATGTAAAGTATTTACTTAAAAAACCGTTCTTTTGCATGTAATATGTTTGTATTACAGTCATTGCATATGACTGTAATACAAACATCCTGGCTTGCCGGTGGATACGTTCATCCCTGGTATGAGAATCTGCTTAATGTAATGAAGTTCTGCAACAGTAATTCTGTAAGAAAGTTGTCTGCTTGACTGACCCTGAATCCAGCGCGTAAAACCGTCATGCCTCCCCAACCGTTTGCCCATGTGGATTCCTCGTGGTGGCTTCAGGTGGGGGCAACTCAGGGTCATTACAGGGAGGGGCCCTCTGACGCGATACGATCCGGATACAGAAGCACACTAAATGCTTGCCTGTTTTCCTTAACGAGAGAACATTCGATTCCCGGCAGAGGCAAGAGATATTTCTCTACTCAACCAGCGTCCTGAACGCTTCTGAACTCCACCCAGCCTCATATCTAATGGGTTCCCGGGGAGGTTTTTCTCGGGAATAAAGCGGTCGGGGAGTGAAGCTGACAATTCACCTGCATCTAGTGTCGAGATGAAGATATAATTCGTGACGTAGCACTTAATTAAGCCCAGGGACAGCTTTACCTTTTGAATTGAAGCGGGTTCAAATTCTTGCGTCGCTAGAAGCGAAGGATCGTTGCAAATGAATGGGCTCGAGACATATCTTAACAGCGGCACCGTAAATACAGGGGCACCATACTGACAGCGTTGCTAAATAAACGGCTTAAAAATAAATATAAACTTGTCCCTTCGCTTAATTAAACGCGACACAATAAAGAAGTATTGGGAAATAGAGAGGCAAATCCACGTATTCATAATCTCGGTAGTTTCATTCCCCGGCTACTATGTAGGATTCCTTCAACTCGGCCATTTAGATAGAGATATTCTAGAATAATTTATAATTATTAACAGCTGTATATTACGCTTAATATTATAATTAATAACAGAAGTGTATTTTGCTAACGCAACAGCGTCTTAAGACACGGAATTAAATTTTGGGTTGCATATAAAGCCAGGATCAAAGCAAAGTTTTTAGAGGTAACACTCAGATATTTATTCGGTCAGGACAATAGCTGTTCTGATCGAGGGTTTCCCGTGGTCCTTCCAGAAAATTCTTGGGACAATACTTCAATTATATCAGAGTCGGTTCCTTCCAAATTTTTCCAATTCATCATCCATCAATTGTCCTAACATTAGAAACTGTAAACTCTGTTTACGTAAGGCTTCTTAAAATAACCCCAAAATAGACGAAGAATTTCTTGACCAGCTGAGAGACTTTTAGATTCCCACGAATTTTTCTGCTGTATAGTTTGGAACCCAGTATGCCCACGATGGACTGGAGACGAGAACTTGTGCTGTGAATGATGGCGACTCCTATTGCCAAATACGAAATTAATTCAGGCAGCAAGTAGCCACCAGATCCTTTCATATCCGCGGTTACGATGACCTATGACATTAAACGTATTGAAGGCCACGCTATTTACTTACAAGATCTGATTCAGGAAGCTTGTCCAAGGTGCCCTGCCTTAGCTAACGCCCTAATATTTACGGGGAATACATATACTAGAACAAAAAAAAAAGTATCTCATACACATATGTAATCGAGGGGACAATTTCTGATCTGCTACCATTGTCGGGTGTCGAACCGCAACTGAAGACAAGGTGATCATCCTAGCCCCTCCCCTCAGTCCTGGGTCCGCATATAAAACTACGGCGATCCGATGATCTGTTATTGTATTATACTGAAGCGCAGTAGTGTACAGCAGCAGTGTTAGGGCTATATCATTATGAATAGGGGACTGCAGGTAAGGTGACGCTCAGGTGCCTTTCGGTGCGTTCATTCGATGAGGTGACGCGACAGCTGCACCAATGTTCTGGGAGTCAGTTCGCCTGAAGGGAAATGTTCCGCCGTCAACAGAACTAAGTCAGAGATAGCGTAGCGCTGTATTGCATGGTGCCGCACTCCATCAGATTTACTTATTAAGAAGTGTTTCCACCCAGGTTTAGTCCGAAAGTTATTTATTGATAAGCAGACATGCCAGATCTATATCAAAAGTTACTTAGGAATAGGAATTTTGTCAGATTTATGGTAAAGTTATTTACGAATAGGAAGTGATTCTAGATTTACATAAACATTCACTTACTAATAAAAAGTCGAGCCAGATTTACATGGAAAGGTACTTACTAATAAGAAGTGCCAGATTTACATGGAAAGGTACTTTCTAATTAGAAGTTTTGCCACATTTACATCAGAAGTTACTTACTAATAAGGATTACCAGATTCACGTAAAATAGTACCTACAAATAAAAAATGATGTCAGATTTACAGCGTTACTTATTAATAAGAAGTTATGACAGATTTACATGAAACGGTACTTACTAAGAAGAAGTTGTGTCAGATTTATGCAAAAAGGTACTTACTAATAAGAGGTGATGCCAGATTTATAATTACTTACTAATAATAAGTGGAGCCATATTTACTTCAAGAGTTTCAAGTATTCTCTTATGGTAATAAATTTTTATCTAAAAATTGTATTGGAAAGTGTGGCCTGGATTCATTTGGCTCAGGATAGGGACCAGTGTCAGGCTCTTGTGAACACGGTAATATGAATTTTTGAGTTCTATATAATTTTCGGAATTTCTTGACTGGCTGAACAACCATTAGCTTCTCACAAAGTGCCCTACTGTAACGAATTATTAGTTAGTTGGTCAGTTGATTAATGGAGTGCATCTTTCAATTCTTTTGTTTACGAAGTTGGTAAGACTGCGGGAAATTTCATGTAGTACAGTACTATTACCGTTACCTAACAATTCACATGCCTTGTGGAGTTGGCAGCCCTGCTTTGACGTAATGCACTGTGCCATTGTGCGTCGTTGCTAATTCAGTTGCGATCGTTATAATATGTGGTCTGCAAATAGTATTTTTAAATGCTATCAGCTTGGGGGCTATAGATGTACTATTTATGTGGCAGATACGGTGGTTATGTCCTAGTTTACGGCAGCTTCTTGCAGTTCCCCTTGTTTCTCAGCCCTCACAATCCAAATACCTCCCCCGAAAATCGCGGCCTAATCTTCTGATTTGGCTCCTACATTCTGTTGCAGGTCGTTGTTTGTATAGTAGCTATAGGCATCACGCATGCCAGGCCTGGCGTGCTGAGCGGTGTGGCCTACACAGCCCCTGCTGCAGTGGTGCCAGGTCCGGTGTCCATATCCAGCCAGTACCACGCGCAAGACGCCCTCGGACAGTATAGTTACGGCTACTCCGGTGGGCCCAGCGCTAAAGCGGAGACCAAAACAGCGGACGGCGTTACTCGCGGAAGCTACTCCTATATCGACTCATACGGCATAGTACAGAGCGCCAATTACGTGTCTGACCCCATTAATGGGTTCCGAGTTGCGGCTACTAACCTTCCTGTACATGTCCCCACCCCCGTCCTCGACACCCCCGAGGTCGCTTCAGCTAAAGCTGCACATGCTGTAGCACAAAAAGAAGCTGCCGCCGCTGCAGCTGCCGCCCCCGATGTGTCTGAAGCGGTTGTTGTTGCCGCCCCTGCAGTTCCTGCCACCCCTGCAGCTCTTGCCGCGCCTGCAGTTCCCGCCGCCCCTGCAGTGATTGCTAGTCACTCATACACAGCTCCTGGTATTGTGGTCAGTGCGAACACAGCTGGAGGCTTCGCATATTCCACCCATTCCGTGGGACCTATCTACGCTCCTGCCTTCTATTCAGCCGTGGTACCCGCTGCCACCCCCATTCTTGTGAGTGGAGTTCCTGCAGACACTCCCGAAGTGGCGGCAGCTAAAGCTGCGCACTTCGCTGCGCACATTGAAGAAAAGCAGCGACTCCTTGGTTAAGATGATTTTTTATCTTTGATCTACACTAGTCTGATTCCTGACACACACTACAGGCTCGTTGGCTTGTACAGCTAGTGTACAGAGGATATTCTTCGCACTTCTAACCCTCACTTTAGTAGACATACAGAGTGATTCCAAATTATTGTCAGGGATTTCTGTCGCCTATAATTTTTAAATTTCACGTGCAAATAAAGGCGAGCATATGGAAGTTTTTAGCATTCTTCAGCATTGATTATATAAACAATAAATATTTTGAGTTATATTTTCATATTCAATAAGTAGTTTTTATTTTATTTTCCCGATTTGAAAATTATGGGCTACGAAAACCCCGACAATAGTTTAGAATCGCTCTGTACACCGGAAGTTGTTTCCTAACATTGAACGTCTAGCCTGAACACTGTGATATAATTGACATCATTCTACCTTTATGCTGTTGTACAAAGAATTTATATGAAATGGTATTTGCAGTCTCAAATATAACATTAATTAATTATTTAATTCATTCATTCATTAAATCATTAGATTTATGTTTGTACTAAATCAAACCTCCCCTTTTCACTGTCTCCTCCTATATCCTCATACCCTATAGGTCTGAAAGAGTGGCACCTTTGACCACGTGATTTCACCCATTCTATTTGCACGACTGCTCCAATTTATACACGTATATGAGCCTGTGTGACTAAGTCACAAATTTGAGTCAGCATAACAATTAGATTACATGCCGTAGGATCGAGATATCAAGGTTGTTTTTCCCGAGAGAGACAAGAGGCTTTTCTTCACTGTGTCTGGGGCCCACACAGTTTTGTATTCAACAGGCACTGGATCTCTTTCAGTGGGAGCAAAATGGCCGGATTGTAAAGCCACATATTTACAGCTAGTGCCGAAGTTAAGAATGAGTGTAGCTGAACCTCCGTTCCTCCTTACGTCTTCGTAATGCGATGCTTAATTAAGCATAGGGAGAATTTTGAATTTTTACTGCTTCAATGACCTCAAATTTCCCTCGTATTTGAATGTTTCATCTTCCTTTTACCTAATCTTGTACATCCGGCTCAGGTTAAGAGGACATTTGGATGCTAACTCCATGAAAGGAATGGGTCCCCTGAAGAAGTTCTTATTTCTGCCAATTATATTTCTCTTTGCCCTATTCAACCAGTGTCCAAGTCTCACTACTCTTCTATTTCAATTCACGGTAGAGACAGTCAAGCCTGTTGTGACTTCACGTAATCATTTAATCTTTTCCAAGATCTTCCTTGGTCTCAGCATCATCCTACTTTATGCTGTAGAACCTGTTGTCGGTGTTCCGTAGGATCTCACAATAAACAGCAACTTATTCCTTAAGCAGCATCAACCGGCTGGTCTTTGTAGCGGAGATGTAATGTGTTTCCTATGAGGTACGGACTGAGTTCTTATATATTATTTAGAGGAAATTAAGTCTTTATAAGCCGTATGTAATATTACACAATGTTTGAAATATGACCGGGACTGTTTTTTTTAAACCAAAATTGCCAAACACTTACTTGCACATGTCAATCTTCAACGTACTCCCCTCCGGAGTCAACATATTTTTTCCAACGTTCTGGAAGCATCCTGATGCCCTTTTCAAAAAAGTTTTGTGGTTGGCAGCGTATCCACTCCCGAACATTCTGGATGACGGCGTCGTTGTCCACAAACCGCATGCCTTGCAAGTCTGATTTGAGCCTTCCGAACAGGTAGAAATCACTTGGTGTCAAGTCGGGACTGTACGGCGGATGTGTCAGAAGGTTCCATTTCAATTTCCGGAGTGTTTCCATTGTTGTTTTGGCCGTATGGGGGCGTGCATTGTCTTGAAGGAAGGCTACCCGCTTTCCACCTCTCTTCCGCTTGGGTAGGATCTTTCCTTTCACGTCTGTTGCCAGGAGGTCTGAGTAATAAGCTGCATTGACTGTTCTGGCATCTGTCAGCAAGTCTACATGGATAACCCCCTGCCAGTCCCAGAAGAGCGTTACCATCACTTTTCCTGCCGAACGGCTCCTTCGCGCTCTCTTGGGTTTGGGAGAACTGGTATGCCGCCACTCGCATGATGACTGCTGGGACTCAGGAATGAAGTAGTGCACCCACGTTTCATCGGTGGTCACTATAGACTAAAAGAAATGTATCACCTTCGTCTTCAAACTTCTGTAGGAGACGACTGGCAGCTTGCATGCACACCATTTTGTTCACATCTGTCAAAGTGTGTGGTACCCACCGTGCATTCACCTTGCGATAGTGCAGGTGGTATTTCACGATGTCTTCTACACTACCAACACTGATGGACAGCATTTCTCCAAGTTCCTTGATAGTGATGCGCCTATTCTCATGAATAAGCGCGTCTGCACGATCAATGTTTGGCTCGGTGACGGATGTTCGCGGCCGACTATCATGCGGTTCATTAATCACGCGCTCTCTGCCCTCTCTGAAGCACTTACACCACTCAAACACACGGGCCCGTGAGAGACACTCTTACCCATACTGTTGTTGGAGTCTGTGGTGAATTTCAGCAGACGGGGCGTTTTCTCCAACGAGGAATTTGATCACAATGCGTTGTTCCACGCTCCGCGGTACCTTCTGTACGCTCATCATTCTAGCAACTCCCAGACAGCTCTGAACAGGTTCTAACCCTAACAGAAGGGAGAGGGGAGGTTGTGGCTTCACCCTCTCAAGGTCGCACAGCTGCTGCGCAGTGCGGCTTCTTTACAAAAAAATCAGTCCCGGTCATATTTGAACCACCTAGTACCTATTAAATAATAATAATATAGGCGGGTTCGAATCCCTCTACCGTAGCCTTGGGAATCGTAGGAGGCGACGGAAAGGGAACTTAGTGTCTGAGGGTATAACTGGGCCACCCGGTTCGTGGGAGATGTAAATACGGGTACCTGGCCCGCCAGGTTGGGACAGTCTCGAATCTGAGACTCGGACCGGAGAATGACTACGCTGGCTAGGACCAGCAGCAATTATAAATGACAGATCCATCCTCTCGTCAGAGAGGATGTTGCATAGGGAATATGACAGCAAGTGTTCAGTCGGAAAAATAAAATTTCTGGTCGTGAGTCTCAAGGGGCTTGTCGCCAAGATGGACTGATTGGCGGTAAAACGTCAGTCCTGAAATGACTCTGACTCTGGGTCTGATTCAGTTTTTGAAGGGTATGGTTTAGTGCAATGAAACCTTGAACTGTCCTTAAGTGTCCCATGTTAAGTGGCTAAACATTTCTTCCAATGGTTTGAAAAAGTTTTATATAATTGCAGGGAGGCCTGGGTAGGGTACCAGTTCTGCACATTATTCTACTGAAGCAACCGAAGTTTATTGAACTCAGACTTGTAACTATTTGCCTTTTAGTTTCAAAACTTGTCTCACAATCTGCAGTTATTACGCTTAATAGATCAATTAAGGAGGACTCGATGACCGGAGTCAGTAGCATGCAAAAAGCACTTCAGAAATAAATAGATAAAATTACAATACCAGGCACTACGTCCATATCAGGGTACCCGAATATCTGCTAATTATTTTCTTCCTTACTTTCTCATGACCTTTCATATTTCATTCCTACATTTTTAATTATATTTGCTTTACTTGTTTCTCTCTCTCTCTCTGTTTCCATCCATCCTTATTTTATAGCTTTTCTATTTATTTATTCTGTCTGTTTTTTTCGATATTTTCTGTTTTTTGTTTCCTTTCTGGTGTCATTATTCAAAACAGAGAATAGACTGCGTGGGGTGACGTAGAGGTAACCTTTATCGAAAGATGATCGGTTCGAATCTAAGCCGTATCACCGGCTGTCCTAAGTAAGATCTGTCGTGGTATTGCTTAGCCCATCCAGACAAATACTAAGATTTTTCTCTATTAGGCCATGGCCGATTCCTTACAGATCCTTTCTAAATCACTTGTCCTATCATCTGACGCTATATAGCCTCGCGACTGCCAGGGTCGTTCAGTGACCCAGAGAAGAGAATTGCAGAGTTGAGGGGGACACGCCGTGTATGCGTCTGTATAGCCGAAGAAGAAAACATTTCATCTTTCAATATCATCAGTTGTTTTAAAATACAGACGTATGAAGAAATGACTCTCGCACAGCCTATAAGGGGCAGACTACCCTGTCTGAGAACTAAAATTACACCATCTTTACTCTGTGCTAAAGACACCGAATTCGTTTTACGTATCCTTATACAAAACAAAACAATTCCGTGGCCTGTAGTCCGCAAGCGAACTATACCGAACGAGCGCCTGACGCTTGCCGGCGAAATTAGCGCCAATTCTTAAGGATGGATGTTGTGGCATGGTCAGCGCAACGAATCTCCATGGCCATTAATTTCGGTTTTCTAGACCGGAGCCTCTATCTCCTTGAATTAGCTCCTCAATTATCCTCACGAGGCTGAATGGAGCCCGTTCCAGACCCGCCACTTCTCAGAAAATTTGGTTCCTCCGGGAATCGAACCCGGACCTTTGGATCTATAGCCAGAAACTCTGTCCACTAGACCACAGAGGCGGTCATATCCTTATACAAAGGAATGAAATTATCGGAGGAGTTCGTTTAACTTAGCCACTGGTATTTCCAGAAGTCTTTCTTTTGGAAAAGGAATTGAACCCTGCCAGAAAAAGAAGAAAAGGAAATTAAACTCTTCAAGGATGACGGCTGCACAAATGCCACAGTGGCAACAGCAATAAGAGATGCAGGAGGGAGTTGCTTTGCATTCGACAAGGCAGTGGAAGGCTTCAAGCTTATTTACAGCTTTCTTAAACTTGACATGAATTGGCTAATTAATGAACTGAATTCTTAATTAACTCGCTCATTTACCAACTAAAATCGGACCAAATACTTTACTTATCTACTCAACAAGTAACCAGCTCTTAAAAAAATCACATATCTGTAAAGCCTGCATCTGCATCTTAACACAATTATTACTGAGGATGGAGGCAGTATGTTTCTCGGAAACGTTGCTATGTAAAGGCCACGAACTGAACATCAACTGCTGTAAAATCCTGAGAAATTAAAGAAACTAGAGAGTTCATTACCGTGTCCACAGGAGTCCATAGTTTTTATATTTGTTTTGGTCTAGTGCAATATATGTCACATCTTAAATATACATAAATATATATGTAGGTCTGTGTAAGATAAATTTCGCTCGAACAGTCTGTAACCTCTGGTCTCCAAAATGGCTTCTATATTCTTCCCGTATCAAAATTTCGATCTATAAATGCGGATACAGTTATAGGGCGTGGGGGGTTTATGGAATATGTACAGAAGAGAGCGAAATACTTAAAAATTTTAGGCGAATATTTTTAAGGGAAGATCCACTTGGGAGAGCTAAGCGTTTAAGAGTACCAGTGATCGAGACTCTAGGGGGCTGAACTGAGTAGAGAGTTTTCTCGCTGTTTTGCAACTGACAACAGAAGCAGATTCAGCTTCCGAAACATCACATAACTTTAAATTTACCTGAGACGATAGAGAATATCCAACATAACAATTTTATAATTAATATTCTCCGTGGCTTGAGTCGGCAAGCGAACTATACCGACCGAGCGACCGCCGCTTGTCGGCGAAATTAGCGCCAACTTTAGCGTGGTTAGCGCAAGGAATACTCAGGGCCGTTAATTTAGGTTTTCTACACCAGAGCGGCTATTTCCTTGAAGTAGATCCTTAATTATCCTCACGAGGTTGAGTGGACTCCGTTCCAGACCCACTACTTCTCAGAAAATCTTGTAGCGCCTGGAATCGATCCAGGGACCTCTGGATCTGTAGCCAGGAACTCTGATCATTAGACCACAGAGGCGGTCACTATTTTATAATTAATAACGGGATCATTTTCACAAACATTAAATCATTATATATGAGAAGATAATATTAAAATGGATTGCGAAGAAATGCTACTGAAATATCGACTAGATTCATCTGGCTCAATATAGGGGCCAATGGCGTGCTGTTTTGAATACAGTAATGAAACTTCTAGTTCCATAAGAGGCTGGGAAATCGCTGCCCAGCTGAAGGACAGTTAGTGTCTGAAGAAAGACACTCCTCCCCAGGGTTATCCAAAGAAAATACCAGATTGTCTACTTCACTCTTTTTAAGGATGAGGTAACAAAAACGAGCTAGCATGTACATTTATGCCCCATCTTCATATGCGATAACTTCACGCTGTCTAATTTTGATTCCGTTCTTAGTTTTCAAATATTATATAAATCACAATAAAAATATTTATACCCCCCTTTTTATTTCGTATGGCTTTAGTCTCGGCAAATTTAATTTCCTGTATAAATCATATGGGCGGTTCCTTGTTGGTTTAAATATACAGACAAAATAGACAGCCTTTGCCATGTAACGGCGTCAGAATGATTTAAACTGCCTGTTTAGAGAAGAACGTGACTTAAATTCCGAATCGAGAACAAAGGAAATAACCTATTTAAATTCAAAATGAACGAATACAATAGTCAGAGAATTTCTAAATTAAAATAACGTTACAGTGGGTGGTACAGGTTTCAAACGACTCGAAATAGAACAAACAGTTTCAAGACGGCTATTTACGTTATTGGACAGAAGCAGTTTCACCCGATTTTATGAAGAGACAAATGTGGATTCTTAAATCGGTGTTCAAGGTCTGCAAGCAAGTTACTTATTGTTTTTACTGACTGATACGTATTTTAGAACTGGATCCCAAGAAATACTTGCCATCTCATGGTTACTGTCAAGGCCAAACGTCATCATGCTAAACTACATTATGTCCCATGAGCTGTTCCATACGTACGAGGGGCAGTCATAAAGTAAATTTGCTCACTCACCGGGCCATCTAAAAGATCAATTCTTATCATACAATTCAGTATTGGGGCCATTGATGCCTGTTAGGTATATTACACAATCTTCTCAAAACATCAGCCTCGTCAGTTGTAAAAAAATTTGACTTGCGTTTCAGAGACCATCTCAATCCGTATCATCAGGGTTGTGATGTGACATTGTTGCTACACTGATGTCACTTCAGATCCTTATGATGGGGATATTAATGTGTCATCAATATCACATCAAATCCATATGATGGGGACATTAATGTGTCATCAATATCACATCAGATCCTTATGATGGGGACATTAATGTTTCATCAATATCACTTCAGATCCTTATGATGGGGACATTAATATTTCATCAATATCACTTCAGATCCTTATGATGGGGACATTAATGTGTCATCAATATCACATCAGATCTTTATGATGGGGACATTAATGTGTCATCAATATCACATCAGATCCTTATGATGAGGACATTAATGTGTCATCAATATCACATCAGATCTTTATGATGAAGACATTAATGTGTCATCATTATCACATCAGATCCTTATGATGAGGACATTAATGGGTCATCAATATCACATCAGATCTTTATGATGAAGACATTAATGTGTCATCATTATCACATCAGATCCTTATGATGGGATATTAATGTGTTATCCATATCACATCAGATCCTTACGATGGGGACATTAATGTGTCATCAATATCACATCAGATCCTTATGATGGGGACATTAATGTTTCATCAATATCACACCAAATCCTTATGATGGGGACATTAATGTGTCATCAATATCACATCCGATCCTTATGATGGGGACATTAATGTTTCATCAATATCACATCAGATCCTTATGATGGGGACATTAATGTTTCATCAATATCACATCAGATCCTTATGATGGGGACATTAATATTTCATCAATATCACTTCAGATCCTTATGATGGGGACATTAATGTGTCATCAATATCACATCAGATCCTTATGATAGGGACATTAATGTTTCATCAATATCACACCAAATCCTTATGATGGGGACATTAATGTGTCATCAATATCACATCCGATCCTTATGATGGGGACATTAATGTTTCATCAATATCACATCAGATCCTTATGATGGGGACATTAATGTTTCATCAATATCACATCAGATCCTGTAATGGGGACATTAATTTGTCATCAATATCACATCAGATCCTTATGATGGGGACATTAATGTTTCATCAATATCAAATCAGATCCTTATGATGGGGACATCACTGTGTCATCAGCGTTACATCAGACCCTAATGATGATATAAATATGTCATCAATGTAACATCAAATTCTGATGATACAAAGGTGTCATCAATATCACATCATACCCTGATGTTGCAGACAGAGATGGTCTCTGAAAAGACGATAATTTTCAACCACGTTACAAAGCTGATAGCCTCACGAAGTTTGGCCGTTGTGAAAGCTCAAGATTTTACCTAATTCATATCTTCATCTCTTTCGAAAATTCTATCACACGTCTTTTCCTTTTTGGTTGATGTTTCATAACTTTTATAATCCTGTCAGAGCTCATTCTGTCAACGTATTCTTTCTAGTTTCTGCAGCACTTTTCTGTAAATTCTGTTCCTAACGTAATTTGTGGGTGTTCTTAATTTTTTCATTACTTCTACTATTACTATAACCCACAGCGGTCTCATGAATCCCATTTCTTCTTATGTCAATCATCTTTCACTAAGATTAGCTGCCATGATATTATGTTGGCCAACAACTGTCTTCTAAATTCATATTATTTTACGCCTAGAAAACAGTGTCTGGTATGGAGATCTGATTTCCAGTTCATAGTGTTCTGATAAAATTTACATTTTTACATCGAAATTTTTCTCTTCTTCGTGTGACATTCTACCCGAAAAAAATCTATTTATATGTTGTAATATCCTATCATATATAAAACACAAGGTTGTTCTCCTTCGTCCTACCCAGACCGATATTTTGTCGCCCATGGAAATGCAAGCGACTGTCTGTAGCTCACGCACTTCTTAGAAAGCAGAGCAGACCACACGAGGCAACAAGGGGCGTGGACACTGCAGACGCGTGGGTGCAGACAGGATATTCGCCGAAGGCAAAGGGAACCCAGCGTCAGGATTTTTCCAAGGAGGCAGAGAGAGCAAGAATTTTAATAGGATTATGTAGTTCACAGATTCCACAGCCGATAAAATTTCGGGTGTCAATAATTTGAATTGTGAAGATAAAAGAGATATATTTTCTTACTTATGGAGCTCAGCCCTTCTTGAGGGGAAGCCAAATCTGCAGCTACTCAAGAATTTCCCAGCATTTTACGGAACCCGAAGGTTCACTACCGTGTTCACAAGAGCCCTCAATCGGTCCCTATACTGCGCCAGATCTATCCAATCCATACCATCCCCTCCCATCCCATCTCAACTAACTGACTGACTAACGTAACTGTTTTTCTACTTAACTAACTGTGTTTTAAATCCAGGAAGAGTTAGATCTGAGATTCTCACGGAGACTACTATGAAGATTACTGAGTCCTGGGATATGACATCGTGTAGCCTGGTGTATGTTCCTCCATCTTCAGTTAGATTTTATATATCTCAAAGTGTGTTACATCCTTCTTGCTCGGAACCCCAACTCATCGTGGGCCCCTCCTCTCTCGTGTGATATAAATGCCTAATGCATGCAGAGCGGGGAAACTCAGCCTCATCCGAAGACGTGACCACGCGGCCAGGATCCCACGTCATAAGGGTATATAAGCGAGGCAGGAGATGTACTGCACACCTCTGCAGCTTCTGCTTTGGAGAGAGCAACATGATTCCTCTGGTAAGTACTCGTACCACCTCGAGGCCAGTGATGTGTGTTGTTGGGCGCGTGGAAGCTCCGAGCTATATTGCTTCCAGTTCGTGGTTCTCACAGCGGTGAAAATGAAGAGTTTTGTCTTCTGGGATGTAATGCCATGTAGCACAGTGAAAGTCAACCGCCGCTTCACAGAACTATATTGCCAGCATTAAGCAGGCATCAAGCAGAGCTTACGCGTTATACCCAGGGAGATAGTCTCTGTCAGCTCTGAAATGTATGGTCAGTTTTGTTGCAGATAATGTTGTTTCAAGTAGTAATTATTCCTAAATGTGTTCCGGAGGTACCCAATTCGGATTTAGGTTGGGCTACCGAAATTTATAATCGGGGTCTCTGGCAATTTTCCTCAGTACCTCCAATCAAATGACAGAATATCACTTTAAATTAGGCCATGACCACTTGAATTCCAGTCCAGCAATAACTGTCATCCAGTTATTCGACGATATATAATTTAAGCTACTGAAAGCATAGTTAAACATATTTCAAACAGAGAGAGGAACATTTTCGTTAATTGATGTCAACATAATGATTGTCATAGAAATTTGCTGGATCGTTTGTTCAAAGAGAATAAGTGATACTCTATCATTTGTTCTGTAACTGATGAGGATTGGAGAGGAAATAGTTCTGGCTTATTAATAGGCGGTATATAACTTTGTAGAAATTGAAAAGAGATTAACTATCTTCTGGGTTCAAACTCTGGTCTGTCAAATATGAGATCGATTAGCCCGAACCCACGGACAGAGTATATGAGATTTGTGTTATGAATTTTTAAAATGTGGAAGGTGGATTCATTTTGGATTAGAGTTTTAAAAAAGCTGCAATTCCTTTTGCATTTTGATATTTATTACATTAACGTTAGACAGCTTCGTGGCACGTAAAAAGTTTTGCTCTATTAAAACCGAAAACATATTTAATGTAAATCAATTTATATAAAATAGGGAGAAAACATATTGTTCATATGAGTAAATATTTAAATAAGAATGGAAAAGTATGATGCAGAATAAAGTACATATATATTTTCCATGTATTGTTGGTCTGAATGCTCAGTTATTGAAGATTCATATCATAGTTACAACGGAAATCACGCTATTGAACAATACTGCATAGTCGTATATGGTTAGTTGGTTTCGCTAAAAATTTGTTTTTTTAAGTATTTTAAATAACAGTTCAGCATATTAACGCGGTCCGTATTTTGTGTTATTTGTATCAGTACTTAGCAGATAGGGCTTTATGTTAAGTAGGGATTATGTTGGCTAAATATGAAACAAAAATGTAATTCTCACGACGAATTTATTGCAGATTTCCAACACAAGTTTTGAATAATTGTTTTTAAGTAATTATAGATTTGAAGCATTTGCAAAGATAGCTCATTAAAAGCCTGTGTTTTCCTAACATAAATCTTAACATTATCTTATAGTATTGGCTCAATTGTGCCAACTTATGAGAGGTAAAGTGATTTTAAATATTCCTCTCAAGACCTCAAAACTTTGTTGTCTGAAAATAGTTCAGTACCTTGAAGCAATGTTTGATTTCATTTTAGAGCAGCCAATGACATTACAATAATAAAATACGAATTTCATTCAGGATTCATTTTTATTATTTATTCAGTTATTTGGAACGCAGTACCAACTTTTGAAAATAGTTAATAAATTGCAAGAAAAATGTGGAAAAGTTAAAATGTTCGGAAACATTAGTAAAACATCTAGATTTCGTAAACGAAGGTGTTTAAAGCACATTAAATTAAACATGGGTATAATCTAGGTCTCTCACATTAAGGACAAGAAATATTAGAGAAGAGAGAATTAAAAAATATTTAGATCCAAAAGAGAGGGAATGGAGACAAGTGCACATTGAGTAACTTCATAAATCGTGCTATTCATTAAATATGAGTAATATTAAGAATACGAAATGAAGGGCAATTGTGTTTGCATTTGTTTTTGTGTCACATTTGAGTAAATTCATAAATACTTAACATTATCGCTAACAAATGTGAAGGGCCACAGGATTAGATGGGATGATATTATTAAAATGGATTTTAAAGAAATGGACTGGGTCCTTATTTCAGGTTAAGAATCACCGGAGGACACTTGTGAACACGGCAATGAACCTGGGTGTTCCACATGAGAACTGAGATTTCTTTAGTAGATGACAGGCAATCATTTCCTCAAGAAAGTAGTTAATACTGTAAAATTATATTGAAAAAGTACTCGGTTTGGCTCTCAATCGTGACACCGACTATACTAAGACTTTACATGGTTTTCTTAAACCCTACATCGTTTAGGTATCATCTCCAAATCAATAGTTATCCAACTATTTTATGCTACACATTTCAATCACCGACAGAACCAAAAAATAAGCCAAAAAAGTATAAGGACTTTGTTTTGGCGACAAAAGAGATGTAGCAGACGTTACGTGACCTGAATTTTGATGAAACGGTGTTGGCCGTTACTAGTTAAATCACAATATTTACTTCAAATTTCTGAGGAAAATCACGATTTATGGGGTGTACTCGGAACTACACGTGACAGTAATTGGAGACATCTATTGCGCCTCAAAATAAGGGAGCGTGTTGAAACGAGTCTAGTGTCCACCAAGGCCACCTGTTCTCAGGACCATATCAGTGATGAGTTGGGTGTGGCGTTGCCAAGGTTACATTAACTGCTCCAGTCGTAATGCATTACGCAATCCGGCGCTAAACTGTAATAGCGAATGAATATTGCAGATCTGTTTATGGTAAGGATGGCATGTCCTGCTACCTCAGTTTCCTCCAGCGCGGAGCGTGAAGCCTGTAGGAGTCTACACTTCTAACAAGCAGAAGAACGTATTTCTTAGCCTACTTTCCGTGTTTTGAAAAATGAATAAAGATTAATGTGCTCACCTTATTATAAGTATATGTATCCATACCAATTAGAATATACAAAATTATAATTTTGCCTGTGGTTCTGTATGGGTGTGAAACTTGGTCTCTGACATTAAGGGAGGAACATAGACTGAGGGTGTTTGAGAACACGGTTCTGAGGAGACTTTGGACCGAAGAGAGAAGAAGTGACAGGAGGTTGGAGAAAACTGCATGATGAGGAGCTTCATAACTTTTACTCTTCTCCAAGTATAATTAGAATGATCAAGTCAAGGAGGATGAGGTGGGCAGGGGAGAGAAGGAATGCATATAGGATATTGGTGGGAAAGCCGGAAGGAAAGAGACTACTGGGAAGACCAAGACATAGGTGGGTGGACAATATTAAAATGGATCTTGAAGAGATAGGATGGGATGGATTTATCTCTCAGGATAGGGACCAGTTGAGGACTGTTGTGAACATGGTAATGAAACTTCGGGTTCCATAAAATACTGGGAAGTTCTTAAATAGCTGCACAATTGGCGGCTTCTCAAGAAGGGCTCAGCTCAATGAATGAATATCCATTCGTGTCTCTCCAGCTGTCAATGTATCCCCCTTAACTTTTGTTAGGATGCACATCAGATCACCTTCTTCTCTACGTGTTTTCATGTCCTCCTAATTTTTATGTTTATGAGTTCATCTTGTTGGCCGTGTGTCTTTGTATTCCTCCTGTTGTTCCTAGCAAAGGGCTGTTTTTCTCTCGATGGCACTACGGCCCTTTGGTCCTTGGCCGCTTTTTCAGCACCTTAATTCTATACACAGCCGGTAGGACTCCTTGGACGGGGGATCAGCCCGTCGCAAGGCCGCTACCTACACACAGAACAATAAAAACCCAGAATAAATGCATGCAGTACTAACATTCATGCCTTAGTGGAATGGGTTTGAACGAGCGAAGTCAGTCCATGCCTCAGACTGCGCGACCACAGTGACCGGCTCTATGTGGATCAATCAATCTCAAACAGAACATATGGAATTCTGAGTAACTGTACCCTGAAGGGGGAGGAGAGCGCAATTTAGAATTAACCTTTTAAATGCTAGGTTTTCATGTCTATGCGTTTCTTCTGTGCTCTGTTATTTGAAGATTTAAAGCGGTTACATCTGTTTTCCCGACCTAATATGACGCAGTGAAAGAGTTAAAGAGGCACAGTTTCCGGGCACTGTACAGCTGTAGTGTACGGCAGAGCGTATATTTTGCGGGTGCAAACAAATGCATTAACAAAAGCGTGAAAGTAGGTGACAAGGTCTGCCTTTACTCTGGTTTATTTCTCTGCCTATTCTTCGACCCTGAAGATGGAGGCGATATTTTTCTCCGAAACATCGGTTGACTTGCAACGGACTAAACGGCGTTATATCGCAGAAGACAGTCCTCTTCATGAATTAGCGTGATTGAAATATATGCTTTAGCGTACTCACAAAATGGAAGTACCATATATAAAGTTTAATCAAAATCTGTCCAAGAACTCGAAATATACGAGTATACACAGAATTTTATTGATATTCCTAGGTAAAATTATCCTTATAGTAACGATTAAATCAACAAAACTTCCACGTAATTTGTTTAATCGGAGCGTCATCCAATACAGTTCCTCGGCTTGTGACGTGTTACTGACCCGCAGGCGAACATGACAAAGTGATCTGACAGTCCTTTTCCATTCTTCCGAAACGCGCCTAAGAGTAAGGACAAACTTGCAAAACTCGAACGGGATTCCAATTATGAGATACCATCAGAAGTGTCTTAATCGCCGTGCGTTTGCGGCAACTTCTCCGGCAGCACTGTATTTCAGGGTTGCATACTCTAAACTCTGCAGGCGTATCAGCAATGACACTTATTCCCTTCTGTTTGCTGTTGATTACAATAGTAAAGATTCACTTTACGGTCATCCGCCTTATGACAGCGTATTCTAGTCTGGTAGGTGGGTACCAACGTTACGGAGGAACACACTGCCTCCATCTTCATGATTGAAAACCATGAATATGTTCCTCTAAGACCCAGCTACCTACTAGATCATAACACGGTTTCACTATGATTCTTGGATTGCTTGGCGAAGTTCTTTCAATGTCGTTTCCGACGAAAAGATGATATGAGACTAATGAAGTAGCGGTGATTTGGACAGCCATGACAGTCACATATTTGAAGGTGCTAAGTCGCCATTTACGTAATTAAAAAATTATGAAAATCTCGTCCATTTCTCTTTATACAACAAGACGGTAATTATCCTAATGAAATTATGGCAACACAGTGTCTTCCACTTGCTGGGTGCAGACAGTACTAATTCTGTCACTAGATGAATCTCTCAACTATGGTCTCTCTATCGTCAGTCGCCATTTTCATTAAAAATTTGTTTAAGTATAGCTTGTCTCCCATCAAACGGATATCGGGGCTGTTTCCTCGGGGGTAAAGCGGCCGGCAAGTGAAGCTGCCCATTCACCTCTAACTAGTGCCGAAGTCAAGAAAATTTGGACCTATACATCCACTCCCCCATACACCTCCATGGCTTAGTAATTAGTTATGCACAGGGATAACTATATCCCTTTATACAATATACGCATAATATACGTATCTGCAGAATTATCTTCTCAAGAATGACAAGGCGGCACACGTTCGGCCCCCGTCAAGAAAAGTAACAAGAAAAAGGAGACGAACCTACTCGGTTTATAAATTCTAACAAAATCTTAAAAAAAATTACAAAAATTTTTAAAACAGCCGCGGTAGCTGTAAAAGCTTCAGATTTATATCCAATTTTATATTATCAACATTATATGCACTTTTTAACGATCAGAACATACGTTGTAATAGTAGCTTCCAACTGTATTGATGTCCCTCTGATGATGGTCTCTAAAGACTGAAACATGTAAGGGCATGAAAAATTGAAATAAGAAAAATCTTCAGCAGTCACACTGGAGAGAACTGTTTAAATATTTATGATAACTTTATCTTTTCTGCTTTTATTTTTTTTAGTATTGAATGTTATGATTTGGCTGTGAGTACACGAAGCGAAGCACTATCGAATAAATAAAATCCACCACCATGTTCTGTCAATAGAGTTGTGTATGTATTAAGGGGGTTTAGAAAGCAGTAGCCTATGCTAAACATCAACTGTCTTCGCTCGCTCGGAAGCCGGGATCGTGGGTTCGAATCCCACTCAGGTAATGGATGTTTGTGTGCGTTTTTCTATGTTTGTGTACAGGTAGAGGCCTTGCGACGAGCTGATCACCCGCCCAAGGAGTCCTACCGAAAGTCTAAAATCTAGTAAACCGACGTGAAACGGAGAGTTTCATGGAGGTAGGCCCAAAGGCCCAAAGGAGGGCTGTAGCGCCAAAGGGGAAAAAATGCTAAACATCAAAACACGAATTTGCGATGTAACGGGATGTGCCTGAGGTGGATGTTCTGTTCGGTGTTGCAGATAATGTTATGCTGCGTCGCCCTGGCGGCTGCGAGACCCAGCGGGTTCCAATCTGTGTCTTACTCAGTCCCTTCCGCCTTCGTAGCCAGCCCCGTCTCCATATCTAGCCAGTACCACACTCAAGACTCACTGGGCCAGTACAGTTACGGGTATAATGCCGGTTCATCTGCAAAAGCAGAGACAAAAACTCTTGATGGCGTCACCCGTGGAGGCTACTCCTACGTGGACGGTAATGGCATCGTCCAGACTACAAACTATATCGCTGACGACATCAATGGTTTCCAAGTAGCGGCCACTAACTTGCCTACACACGTGGCCTATGACACACCAGAGGTTTCTGCTGCTAAGGTCGCCCACTCTGTGGCCTATAATAAGGCCGCTTATGCTGCAGCTGCTTCGCCAGATGTTGGCGAATCTGTTGTTGTGTCTGCCCCTGTCGTAAGTTCCTACGTTGCCTCATCACCAGCAGTAAGCATCGTTAAGGAAGTTCCCTCCAACGCCTTTTCTTACTCCACCGTAACTGCTTCTCCTTCTGTGGCTGTAGTTCCCACTGTTACCCCTCTCGTCAATGCCGTCAAAGATGTCCCATCCAAAGCCTTCTCATATTCTACAGTGGAAACTTCTCCTTCTGTTGCTGTAGCTCCAGCCTTAACCGCTTACCCTGTTGTTACTCTTATCAGAGAGGCCCCATCCAAAACCTTCTCGTACTCAACGGTAGCGGCTCCTCCGGCAGTCTCCCTCGTGTCGGCGCCTGCTGCAGTCAAGTATTCTGTCGCAGCTGAGGAGGCTCCTGTCGTAAGTTTAAAATTCATCTCTGAAAATATAGCCCCTAAGCTTTAGATGAACTATTACTACACAATATTATATTTTAGCATTTCTCTTGCATTGTGGCATCATTTTTATATCGTAAGTAGACCGTCTGTAATGCAACAATAACCTTAAATAAAAGACACTAAAATATATTTAATATACTAAAAGTGCTTCTTAAATAGTTGAAAATGTCATAAAACTTATACAAGGAATGAATATATAAGTTTAGTAATATTTTAAAATATTTAACAAGTACTTTTAATGTATTAAATATACTTTTAGTGTCTTAATAATATTTTATGACATTTAATGACATTTTTAATGTGTTTAACAAGCACTTTTAGTGTATTAAATATATTTTAGTGCCTTTTATTTAAGGTATTGTTGCATTACAGACGGTATATTTACGATGTAAAATATATTACTACACAAGTCTAACACACGTCTCAGACGGGATTATGAAATTCTTGGCTATAACACCATGTAGTCTTTTAAACGGATACAGAAGGAGGAATATTCTACCTCCATTTTCAGGGTTGAAATGTGTGTGGTGAGAAATCGGCTTGGTAATATAGCTAGGTTCCAAAGAAGTTGGTCACCTGGCCTCATGGAGGCGGAAATGAAATAGTGCCTGGTTCGGACCAATGAGAATCGTGGACAGGAAAGAACTCTAGATATATATTCCTCCGAAACGTCTGTACGAGACCATGAGACTAAGACTACACTGTGTCACGACCCCGAATGTCACAAACTGAACAATCTTCGCTGTCGAAACTTCAAGATTATAATACACATCAAATGTTTAATAATTGTGTTATGTTTCGGGAACTAACGCCATTTTCAGGTGATTTTAAATTACTCATTGTTCATGACCGTTTAGACACTGTTATCTCTGTTACGCTCCCTTTTTGTCTCTGTCGTTCATTTATTTAAGTATAATATCATTTGTTACTTCGTGTGAAGTATTCACAAAATTATGCGAGACTCTCGATTATATATCATAAGCAATCATTTAAGTAACCGCTTCTCAAAGAACCAGAGACAGTGCTGCTTCAAGCTGTAACACTCTGACTTACATTCAGGAGATGTCCGTCTCGAACCCCGGTCGAGATATCTATTATCCTGATTGAAAGCTTTAGTGGTTTTTCTCAGCCCGTCCAGGAAAATGCTATGTAGCACCTCCAATTATGCAACAACCCTTCCTATCCAGTTCATTACTTACTAATAACCTTACCATTTTGTGCTACAGGACCTCTGAGATACTGAGAGAGTGGTGAAGGTGCTGTGTTGAAGATATTTCGGAAGTACAGGCTGTCACTGTCCTCAGCGCCAAATCGACACAGACGGAGGCAACATGTACTTCCAAACATCGGCAACACAGCGTATACGCCAAAGAGCATCAACAGTACCAACAGTGAACCACAATGAAAGCCTAAAGTCAGAGATAAATTGTTAAACCGGATATTAGTAAAGAGTGAACAATTGAAAATCGCCTCCTGAAGTAAACACTGTGTGCTCAGATATATAGTGATTGTTTAACAGTGCTGTACCATGTCTATATTAGCGAATGTTTAAATATATGTTTAATTTAAACTCACTTATTTTTGTTGTACTCTGAGGTGCCTTTTCTGGGTGTGAAGCCAGTAACCGCCGCGGCGTATTCCGTTCCAAGTGCTATAGTCACTTCCACCAGCCATCAGTACCACGCGCAAGACGCCCTCGGCCAGTACAGTTACGGATACTCCGGAGGTCCCTCTGCCAAGGTTGAAACCAAGACCCTGGATGGTGTGACCCGTGGCGGATATTCCTACGTGGATGCAAATGGTATCATACAGAGCGCAAGTTATGTGGCTGATGACGTCAATGGTTTCAGAGTGGCAGCCACAAATATTCCAGTCGGCCCAAATACTCCTGTGGTACACAATGTTCTTGTGTCACCCGTGGTTAGCGGCAACCAGGTTGTGGCCGACACACCAGAAGTTGTTGCTGCTAAAGCTGCCCATTTCGCAGCCCATTCCGCTGTAAAGCATCGTGACAACTTGGGCTACTAAACTCGAACGAATTAATAAGGTTTGCTCCAACATACTCGAAAGGCCATACGTATTTTTTTCTGAATATAATACGTCATTTTTCTCCCCAAAACGCCTGTATAAAGGTTAACTGTGTGGTATATTCAAAGGCGTTTATTGTCATGTGGTTTAGTCCGCTGTACGGTTACGATCAAGGGCTGATTAAGACAGGCTAAATAGGCCACAGCCTAAAACCCGATAGCGTATGGAGCCCTGTTTGAGGCGGGCACGCAACTTGCATAGCTTCAGAGGGTGGAGTATCCTAATGAATTTTAGGTGCAACAAAGCGATGTGATTTCCTGTCCCCGTCTTCATTGATTCTGATAAATACGTGTATTAAGGGATCTAACAGGCACCCATCGTCCTGGGGCCCCAAAAACTCTCAATCTGCCTCCGATTNACCTGCTACAATCGATTAAAAAAATATTTCCTTATTTACCGTTCCCAAAGTGCGTTCATGGAACATATATATCCCACCTAGAAACTATGATCTAATAAGCTATACTTTATAAGAATTAATTTAAAAGTGGCAGAACTTGATTGAAATTATAATTTGAAGGGTCTGTATGTATATCTCCGCAAATGAATTTCAATATAAATAAGTAATGCCAACACTGGGATAAGATTCACTTAGGGTCGTTCAAACTAGGGGGAGAAGCAGTCAAAGCCTTTCATACCGCCATATTGTTTTCTTTTGAATATTACTTTTCATCCAATTGTTTATTGAAGAGTTTACATGTACCACAGTGTGACCTTGAAGGTTAATGATATCATTTTATAATTATAATAAAAAGACTGTATTTCTCAAGCTGTTTGTCATAACCTTAACAACAACCTGTGTTCTAGTAGCAGTACCTTTCCATTCCTTATCAAGCAGTACTTTGTAATACATAATGTTGTCGTTATGTTGCATTCCGGCCTAATAATAAGAGATTGTTGTCATTTTTATTGCATTATTTGTGCAAGTAATTCATTTAACTGGAAATCTGTTTCACATATCTTTGTCATTATGCCTACGAATGAGCTCTTCCTTCCACTTGAAATATTTGTTGATCTTTCCATCTTCATATTTGGCGCTCCACACTTCGTTATCCCCCTCTCTCTATGTTAAGGTTTAAGAATATGTCCTCTTTTTTCGTTCCTAAAACATGATATTTCCACTGAGACCTATCCTTTTAAAATTCTGTCATTCAGACTGAAAATTTCTAGCTTTCTTTGAAACTCTTGGATTTCTTATCCAATCTTGTACATCCTGTTACACTTATTAAATATGAAATTGAACAGTTTTTATTCATTATACAATTCCTTTGGACAACTCCCTTGTTTCTGATTCATATGTGAGTGTTTGTACTGTCATAGCCTGATAAGATATTACTTGTATAGCCATCACATCCCTCTTACTTTGCTACCTATCTGGCAGAACCTATTTAATTCTATTTATAGATCCTTCTTTCTCGTTGCAATAGTACACCCTAAACAACCGAAATTATTCATTTGTTGTATTTTTTTTTTGTTATTTTAAAACTATCTCTAATAAAATAAATCATAAACCACTGACATCTCGAATGTTCCGAATTTCAGTGATGATTCTTAGATGTTAGTTTTTTTTCTAAACTCGCTTCCATTTACTGCCGAGATTTCAGTTGCTCTTTCATGTTGAAACCTAATTGACTGTAATTGATCAGTGTTTCCAGTTATCCCATATTTTTATCGAAAAGGTGAAAAGGTACCTACTGATTATGCCAACTTTGTAATAGGCCAAAATATCCTTATGTTATAGTCCGGTCTGCCATTGTGTAATCTGTTTATTGTATGATATTTTAAAGCGGTTTATATAATTGGTAATTGATTTCAGATTCTTCCTAGCAAAACACATTTTTTACCTATACCACAGTAATAAGGCAAATTATTCAATTGAATAGATGCTTAGCAAACTAATGACTGTATCATTATTTTATTTTCTTCTTGAGATGCTAAGAAGTAAGATGAGAATTTGGATCCGTAATTTTATTTTGTTTTCTCCAAATTAAATGAAAAAAAAAAGCCTGGACAGCAGATCCGATACTTTTCCAAATTTATGAAATAGACTTAGTACTGGTAAAATACTTTCTCAACGCCTATATTAAATTGGCTTTTTCTTATGTTTTTCGTGAAATACGTCGAGTTGTATTCGTACATAGTGTAACGGCAGTCTCTTTTGGACTTCCCGCCATTATTACCCAGGTATCAATTGTTACAACATTTGGTCCTCTGATTGGTGGTAAGTGAAGGGCGTTTGACTGTTAGAAGAAATGGCTGTAATGTGTCGGTAGTGTTGTGCATTTATTTCTTCGTTTTATATGAAAGGTAATGTATTTATTATTTATGTAATCGAGTCGCATTCAGTAATGGCTAATAGTTCCGTTTTGAAGAAATCTTATATTGATGGGTTACTCGCATTGTAAATCTGTAAAATAATAATCCACAAGATTTGGGATTATCATGTGGCTTACCATGCCACGTATTGACCAAGATGTATGTTACGTAATGTGGAAGGAACAGAAATGTGTGTAGTGAAGCATGTATTGACAAAGAAACGTAAGAACAATGTACGCCGTGGAGAAAGGATTCAAGGGTATACAGGTATTGCGGTATAGCCTTCATCAAATCTAACCAACCCTACCTCACCAAACTCTTTCATAAAGAATTTCTAGAATGTATGCACACAGGGCTGTCACATGGAATAAAGTGCCTCTAACCAGCCACACTAATGAATGCGGGAAATGTAGGAAATTTCTAAAACTAATGACATTTGCACTAATAATTATCTGATAAATGTTACCCAAAAATATGCATCTGACTCATTAGAACACATGTTGTAATTGCTATTTATGTGGCGAAATTAGTGCAGAAGAGCATCTTTGCAAGAATGGAAATATGTACTGTATTGGCCATGGTGGCCCATGGTCTCAGTGGATGGAGGAGAGGTATGAATACTGTGTGGGGAAAACAGGATTAGAAAACTGGTATTTGTGGTGGAATAAAAGATGGTGACATCATAGCTTCAGATCTGTTGGGAAACATAAACCATGAAACTTACTGCAAGACTTAAACTGGATTCCTACTCTTACAACGTTAGACTCAAGACTGCTTTTTTTATTTTGCTGTGTTCAGTTTTACAATGTAATTTAATACAAGTGACATACAGCAACTGGTGTTTATGCCTGCTGGAGTCACCATGTTCAGTATTTTTGACCTCTCATACACAGCTGTGAGTCAACTGATACACATACTCTGAGTTAGGACTTGACCAGGTTTTCAGTGCTGCCAGAACTCAGCTGAATATTATGGTGTTGTAGTATTTACACTCTGTAGTATGGTACATATGTAACAACATTTCAGCGGAACCTGAAGATGGAGGCAGCAGATTGCTCTGAAATGTTGGTACCTATCTACCAAACAACATGATATGACTTCCTAGGAGACCATTATCTGAAGCTTCTGCTTAATTTCAGCCATCATCTTGACTTCCATTCTGGAGGAACCCAGTTTGAGTTCCATTTGGAACAGCTATTCTGAGGGCTTCTGTAGTTTTCTGTTGCAAACATGAAGGCAACATGAAGCCCAGTCACCTACTTCCAGATACTGATATACTCGCCATTCATGATCATCTTCCCATATTGTTTGCTGTTTCAGCTAACAGAGGACATGATTGATTTCAGACTCAGCAAGGCCTATCCAGGAAGTCCACCCAAGCACATGGAGCCTTTGCCTTCAGACCAAGAATTAGCAGCCAGGCAGGACCGCCTCCTTTGCCAATTACCAGCTACAAGGAGGTTCTTACCTTCGTTGACTTTTACACCGCCAGCTGCAAGGTGTACATGAATTTTGATGATGAATGTGTATGCCTGATGTCCGATATCATTTGAAATTAAGGGAAACTATTAACTTTGTGGACCACTTGATGGTGTCACATTTCACAGTGAGTAGTGCAATTCATGCGTGGGAATTTATTTGTGATTTGTCAGCAGTGGCCAGCAGTTATCAGCTCCATTAGCCATTTGCTCTCAGTTGCAATTAGTGAGGAGAGTGTTCTGTCATGGTGCGGTATACTTTAGAACAACGTCTATTTCTGTATGACACCTATGTGAAATACAAATCAGCTGGGAAGTGCCGGAAAAAATTTAGACGTAAATTTCCTAATGAAGGAAGAGTTCCCAGCAGACAAACAATTCACAATTTGGTAAAAAAAGTTAGATCAACGGGACTCTTAATAGACAAGAAACAGAAACATAAGCGTCGAGTGCTTACTGAGGAGAAGTTGGATGACATAGGAGCCAGACTTGAACGTACACCTAGAAAATCTCTAAGAAGTCTAGCTCAGGAGACAGGAGTGTCAAAATCTAGTGCAAGAACGGCAACACAATTGCTGAATCTTAGACCCAATAAAACCACAGTAATCCACACATATGTTGCAACCGCACGATCCAGCTAGCAGGGTTCGTTTGTGCAGTTGGTTTCTACAGGCTGTTGTGGAAGGTGAGATCGATCCACAATCGACATTCTTTTCTGATGAAGCGCTGTTTCACTTGCAGGGATACATAAACAGGCAAAATAATTGTTACTGAATTTCATACAATCCACGATTTCAAGCTCCATCTAGTGAAAGTTGGTGTCTGGTGTGCTGTAAGTGTAAGGACTGTTGTGCCTGTGTTTTTTGAACAAAACAGTTAATTGCCAAAGATATTTACAGGTCATTCTCGGGGAGTTCTTTTCAGAGTTAAAAGAAGTACTCTATGGCTGGTTCTAGCAAGACTCTCCTACTGCCCACACTGTGCTTGTGTTTATGCAAGCTTTGTCCGACATCTTCAGGGACGATTAGCAGTGGTATTTCGCCAGCATGTTGACCTGATCTTAGTCATTGTGGTTTTTTCTTCTGGTGTTGTTTGAAGGACAGAGTATACAACAGTAGACCCCCAAAGAGAAGAAGAACTTAAAGAAAATATTTGTAGGAAAATTGCAAGTATTCCTGCAGAGCAGATTAAAGGGGTAAATCAGAATCTCTTCTGCTGGTGCAAGGAATGTCTACATGTAGAGGGACAGCATTTTCAACACCTGTGATCTTTGAATGGTAACTATTTCATTCTGAATGTTATCGGCCAACAGACATATTGATTCATCAACAGAATTTGTATGCGCCTTACAGCTGGCTAGCGCCGATCATCGTGAAGTGCAGAGTCATGAACCAGTCAACAAAGATAAGAAGCTCCTTGTACCATGAAACCATTGACTGCAGACCAAGGAAGGAAGAACCAAGAGGATCTGTGCCAGCAATGAAGAATCTTCTCAGTAAAGGTAAATTTCACATCAGAAGTAATACCTGAATGCATTGTGCTTATGTTGTTAAATATTTACTGTGCCAGAGAAATGTTCTGGTCTAGAAAACTGAGATTAATGGCCATGGGGATCTGTTGTGCTGACCACGCAACACCCTCTATCCACAAAAGTTGGCGCTGACTTCACCCGCAAGTGGCAGTCGCTGGGTCTGTATAGTTCACTTGTGGACTAAAGGCCATGGAGTTTTTTTTGTTTGCTAGAGAACTGTATAAGTGAATGAGGATATTGTTTTATAGCCCTAATATTTTGGAATGTAATGAACCTGTTGTAAGAAATGTTATCTCAGTTAAAGCATGTTTCTGTTTCCTCTAAGACGGGAATGCACATGTCTTCTGAGTAGGAATAGGGTTGGTTTGGCCAGCCCAGCGAGTGGGAAGCGATTTTCAGAAAACATCCGTAACAGACATTAAATTTATAAGCTCCAAAAAATAACAAAAAATTATGGTTTACTTTTTCAATTTTATTTTTATTAATTCAAATTGATTGTCGGCCACGGTAACCGAGCGGTCTAAGGCATGCACTGTCTTCACTTGCTTGGAAGCCAGGATTGTGGGTTCGAATCCCACTCAGGGCATGGATGTTTGGTGTTTGTGTACAGGTAGAGGCCTTGGGACGAGCTGATCACCCACCCAAGGAGTCCTACTGAATGTCTAAGACCTAGTAAACTGAAGTGAAACAGAGAGTTTTATGGAGGTAGGCCAAGGCCCCAGTTNCAGTAAATTGAAGTGAAACAGAGAGTTTTATGGAGGTAGGCCAAGGCCCCAGTTGAGGCTGTAGTGCCCAAGAAAAAAATTAAAATTGACTGTATACTTTAACCGCACACGCGTATCTAGATGGAGTACACTGACCTGGATCGAAGACTATCTAGAAGTGCGCTGTAGATCTGGTAGTCTAGTTGGCGGCTACGTCCTTCTTGATAACGCCTCCGCGAATGGAATATCTCAGGGTTTATTGGGCTAGTTGATAAGAGGTGTTATCATTGAATGTTGAAAGCTTTCGGGTAGAGTCATGGATTCTTTCCTCAGGGACGTTTAGGGCCTCGCTTCAAAGGGGTTGGAAGGAGATGTCCTGGATTCGACTCTCCGTGTTAGCGGAGTCAGGTACAGTAACGCACTGTTTACTGGGTTTAAGTTTTGCACAACTTAATTTATTACACTTAAAGAAATGCAATCGCACTGGTTAAGATGTTTACGACACTGACACTGGCATCGTGTGGATCGCTTATTAGCGATCGTAGAACTATATCTTATATACATGAACTGGTTTACACTGTTGCACTGTTAGTTAGCTTGTAGCTAGGGATCACTTCTTTAGAACGTTATGTAGATTCGAGCTTGTACTCATAGCTTGTTACACTTCGAAGAATTAAAA